AGGCCTGGGGGGCGCGACGGGCCTAGGAGAGCGACGGGCCTAGGAGAGCGATAGGCCGGGACCGAGGCCTAGGGGCGCGACGGGCAGGAAACGGGGCCCTGGGGCGCAATGGGCCTAAGGGCGCGACGGGCAGGAACCGGGGCCTGGGGGGGGGGGGCGCAACGGGCCTAGAAGCGCGACGGGTAGGAAACGGGGCCGTGGGGCACGACGGGCCTAGGGGCGCGACGGGCCTAGGGGCGCGAGTGGCCTAGGGGCGCGACGGGCCAAGGGGCCGGGGCCTAAGGGCGAAGGGGCCGAGGGGCTCGACGGGCCTAGGAGCGCGTTGGGCCGGACCTGGGGCCTTGGGACGTGACGGGCCTAGGGGCGCGACGGGCAGGAACCGGAGGTGAGGGGCGCGACGGGCCTAGGAGCGCGACGGGCAGGAAACGGGGCCTTGGGGCGCGACGGGCCTAGGGGCGCGACGGGCCTAGGGGCGCGACTGGCCTAGGGGCGCGACGGGCCAAGGGGCCGGGGCCTAGGGGCGAAGGGGCCGAGGCTACGGGCCGGGGCCAAGGGGCTACTCGCAGGGCAGCAGGTGGTGGGCCCAAGGAAAGAAAAGCGGTCCTAGCGAGGGACCTGCTCTGAAACCATGTTGAAATTAATGAACGAGAATGAATGAACTATGAAACAGTTGGGTACAAGTGCTAACCCTAATTGGGTTGTACCCCTTATGGGCTACCCCACTATAGCCTACACAAATGTAAAAGCTATAATGTTCTGACACTTGGTTCTTGGACAGCCGCTGCGGAAAGCACATGTGCTCCTCGGGTCGCTTCGTTCAACAGGAACACCAACTTCAGCGCGAAGTTGTAATCACCGACGCCAACAACCAGAACCTGCACACACGACGACAAGGGATTGTTCAACTTCAATCTCGAGAAACCAATGTTATTATACAAATGTCGAAAGTCTTAATCGCAGAAGGACTTGGCTACAACTTACTCAGCGTCAGACAATTAATGGCGAAGGGCATTCATCTCGAAGCAGACAGCACCACTCAGAAGTTCAAGTTATTCCACGGAAAGGGCGAACTCTACATTGGCAAGGCGGTCTTGAAGAATAACGTCTTCGTTCTTGACTTCGTTCCAGACCAAGGTACCGCCGACAGCGACGCCATCGTCAACTTCACTTCTTGGACACATCCACCAGATCTCGACCCCGACTTCAGTCCTGGAGGATTTTGGTACTCACATACCATACCGAAAGCAGAAAGAACAATAGCATTAGCAACAATCCGGTAAGAAACAACATCGACAGCAGCAGAGACAACATCGGTAGCAGCAGCAACTGTCAAACTCATATGCTATAGTCTGTTTAGGCTGTAGTGGGGTAGTTCTTATAGGGTACAACACTTTTAGTTTTGCTACTTGTACCCACTTGCTTTTTAGTTCACTCATTCATTCGCTCACATTCTAACATGGTATTCTGAGCAGGTTCCCTAGTGGGAACGTTTTTTTTTAAGGGCCCACCACGAAAATTTTTTTTTCCTGCCCTGCCCGAAGCGCGCATCGCGCCCTAGCCCGTCGCGGCCCCTAGCCAGTCGCGGCCCCTAGCCCGTTGCGGCCCCTACTGCCTGTCGCGGCCCCTAGCCCGTCGCGGCCCCTAGCCTGTCGCGGCCCCTAGCCCGTCGCGGCCCCTAGCCCGACGCGCCCCCTATCCCGTCGCGGCCCCTAGCCCGTCGCGACCCCTAGCCCGTCGCGGCCCCTACTGCCTGTCGCGGCCCCTAGCCCGTCGCGGCCCCTACTGCCGACGCGGCCCCTACTGCCGTCGCGGCCCTAGCCCGTCGTGGCCCCTGCTGCTGGCACGGCCCCCTGCTGATGCGGCCCACTGCTAACGCGGCCCCTGCTGACGCGGCCCCCTGCTGGCGCGACCCCTACTGACGCGGCCCCCTGCTGGCGCGGCCCCACCTGACGCGGCCCCCTGAAGTCGCGCCCCCCCCCCCCTGCCGTCGCCACCCCTACCGGCGCGGCCCCTGCTGTCAAGGCCCGGCCCCTGCTGACGAGGCCCCTTGTTGGCGCGGCCCCTACTGGCGCGGCCCCTGCTGATGCGGCCCCCTCCACTCGCGGCCCCCCTGCTGTCGCCACCCCTACTGGCGCGGCCCCTACTGTCACGACCCGGCCCCCTGCTGACGCGCCCCCCCCCCCGGCAGTTGCGCCCCCCCTGCCGGCGCCACCGCTACTAGCGCGGCCCCAGCTGTCCCGGCCCGGCCCTGCACCCGTCCCTGGTAAGCACCCGCGCCGCCCAGCCGAGCCGCGCCGCCTAGCCGAGCTGCGCCGCCCAACCGAGCCGCGCCGCCCAGCCGAGCCACGCTGCCCACTGAGCTGCGCCGCTCTGCCGAGCCGCGCCGCCCTACCGAGCCGCACTGCCCTGCTGCCTCTGCTGCTACTGCTGCTACTGCTGCTATTGCTGCTACTGCTGCTACTACTGCTACTGCTCCTACTGCTGCTATGGCTAGCCCTACTATTCTCACCTTTGATGCTGAGGGACGTGCAGTTGACTTTGACGTGTTGGTTGACGACCTACAGCTCTTTCTTCAGTGTGATTCTAGGGATGGGGTATCCCTTTTCGATCACACGTCTGGTGTCTCTACTGCTCCTGCTGCCACTGCTGACAGTACGGTTCGCTCGCAGTGGACCACTCGTGACGCTGTTGCTCGTCTTGCTGTTCGTAGTCACCTGCCGCCTGCTGAACGCGCGCATTTTGGCCAGTACAAGACTGCTCAGTCTTTGTATGACGCTGTAGTTGCGCGCTACTCCTCCCCTGCCACTGCTGCCCTCAGCCGCCTCATGTTGCCGTACATTTTCCCTGACCTTGCCGCCTTTGCCACAGTCGCTGACCTAGTTGCTCACCTCTGCACTAGTGACGCCCGCTACCGCGCTGCCCTTCCCACTGAGTTCTGTGCCAAGAACCCCCCCCCCCCCATGTACATCACCCTTTACTACCTAGTCACCCGCCTCCCTGACTCCCTTTCTTCAGTCAGGGACCACTTTCTCTCCCTTTGCCCCACCGAGCTAACTATCGACCTGCTAGAGGAGCACCTTGCTGCAGCTGAGAAGAGTATCTTAGCTGTAGGTGCTTCTCGCGGCGACCGTCGCACCCCTTTCTTTGAGGGGTGTTCCCCTGTCCCCCTTCTCCCCTCTGTTGCTTCTGCTGCTGCTGTCGACCTCGTTGGCACTGAGGAGGTCGGAGCTGCGTCTGCCCCTAGTGGGAGACGCCGCAACAGCAAGGGCAAGGGGAACAAGGGTGGTGGAGGGGGCGACGGGGGAGGCAGTGGAGGAGGTGGAGGAGGCGGTGGGGGTGGCGGTGGAGGTGGGGGTGGTACCGGGAGTGGGGGCTTCAGTGGTGGCGGCGGAGGTGGTGGCGGCAGCGGCGGAGGTGGTGGAGGCAGCGGCAGCGGTGGTGGAGGTGGCGGCGGCGGTGGTGCTGGTCGAGGTGCAGCCGCGCAGCGTGGAGGCTTTGGTGGTAGCCAGCGCCAGCAGCAGCTGCGCTCCCGTGAGACCCCGTCTGCCCAGCAGCTTCGTGAGTGGTAGGCTGGGCGTGGGAGGTCTGGGGGTGCTGGTCCCTGCACTTACGTTCTTCGCACCGGCAGTCATCGTGGGGAGGCGTGTGGGCTGCCACACACTACGCAGCGCTGCTTCGGTCGCTTGACTGACGCCTGGCGTGCCCAGTTTCCTGACGCTGTTGAGCTCCCTCGCTGGCATGATCTGCTTCTGCAGAATGTGCCTATCTTTGATCTTGATTTCGATGCAATCCTTGCTGCCATGTATGCTTTGACTGATAGTGCTGAGGGTGACTGTTACCTGAGTGTCCCGCCCGACTCGGGCATTGCGGCTGCTGCTCTAGGTGCTAGTGCGTCTGCTGCTCTAGGTACTGGTGAGTCTGCTGCTCCAGGTGCTGGTGAGTCTGCTCTCTCTGGTACTGCACCTACTGAGGCCTTTCACACTTTCACACTTGACTCTGGTGCTTCGCGCTCCTTCTTTAGAGACAGCACCACACTCACGCCACTCAGTCGGCCTGTCGCAGTCTTCTTGGCTGACTCCTCTGGGGGCCCAATCCTTGCGCACTCTTCCACAGATCTACCGTGTCCTGCGGCCCCGTCGGGCTTGCTGTCGGGACTCCACCTCACCTCGTTCTCTACGAACCTGGTGAGTGGAGCTGACCTCCAGGATGCGTGGGTTGACCAGTTCGCCCTTGGAGGTCAGCGTGTGACCCACTGCACTTGCTCTCGGACGGGCCGCCACCTGGCCACGTTTACCTGTCGGCCAGGGTCGAGTCTGTACACACTGACTACTGCACCTCCTCCGGTCTCTTCGTTTGGTCAGGTAGCTGCGTCTAGTCAGGTGTTTGCTGCCGCGTACAGGTCTAGTCCTGCGCCTCCCCCCTGCTCGTGTCGTCCTCTGTCGCACGAGACTCTCCTTTGGCACCACCGCCTTGGTCACCCCTCCCTGCCTCGTCTTCGAGGTATGGCCTCCCGTACCCTTGTCTCGGGTCTACCCCGGTCCCTCCCTCCCCTTCCTCCGGGGCCTGCCCCTACCTGTGTTCCCTGTGTCGAGGGCCGGCAGCGCGCCGCTCCTTGCTCCTCCGCGTTCCCTCGGACAGAGGCTCCTCTGCAGACTCTTCACATGGACGTGTGGGGCCCAGCCCGCGTCCGTGGACAGGGTCACGAGCGTTACTTCCTGCTGATCGTTGACGACTACTCGCGTTACACCACAGTCTTCCCCTTGCGCAGCAAGGGTGAGGTCCGTGAGGTGTTGATCGACTGGATCCGCGGTGCTCGTCGCCAGCTCAGCGAGAGTTTTGGCTCGGACCTCCCTGTTCTGCGTCTGCACTCCGACAGAGGTGGTGAGTTTTCCTCCGACCTCCTGAGGGCCTTCTTTCATGCGGAGGGCATCCGCCAGACGTTCACGCTTCCAGCCTCTCCACAGCAAAATGGGATTGCTGAGCGCCGCATTGGCATGGTCATGGACGTCGCTCGTACGTCCATGATCCATGCGCCTGCTCCCCATTTTCTGTGGCCGTTCGCGGTTCAGTACGCTGCGCATCATATCAACCTTCAGCCTCGTGTCTCCTTGCCGGAGACCACACCTACTCTGAGGTGGGCAGGGAAGGTTGGCGATGCGTCTGCTTTCCGTGTCTGGGGATCTCGAGCTTTTGTCCGCGATACTTCAGCGGACAAGCTGTCCTCCCGTACCGTTCCCTGTGTCTTCCTTGGCTTCCCCCCTGACGCACCCGGGTGGCAGTTCTACCACCCCACCTCGCGTCATGTTCTGTCCTCTCAGGACGTCACGTTTGACGAGTCGGTGTCTTACTACCGTCTCTTTCCCTACCGCACTGCCTCTCTCCCCCCCCCACCGCTCTTTCTAGCACCAGGTACTCCCCCGGTAGACCCCCTCCCCCCCCAGGGTCCTGCCCCCTCAGGTGTGTCCCAGGTAGACCCTGCCGAGCCGGTCGAGGTAGCTGTCGACTCAGGTGCTGCTAGGGGTGCTGAGCCTGCGGGTGCGGGGACTGGGGGTGCGGGGAATGGGGGTGTGGGCACTGGGGGTGCTGAGCCTGAGCGTGTGGAGCCTGGAGGTGCTGAGTCTGGGGGTGCTGAGTCTGGGTGTGCTGAGCCTGGGGGTGCTGAGCCTGGGCGTGTGGAGCCTGAGGGTACTGCGTCTGGGGGTGCTGAGCCAGTGCGTGCTGAGTCTGGAGGTGCTCTAGGTGTCCCGTCGCGGCGGGAGCCCCTCTCTCCGCAGCAGCTTCGTGAGTGGTACTCTCGGCGCTGTCAAGGTGCTGCTGGTACTGGTGCTGCTGGAGCTGCTGGAGGTGCTGCTAGAGCTGCTGGAGGTGCTGCTGATGCTCGAGGTGCTGGAGGTGCTACTGGTGCTGGAGGTGCTGCTGTTGCTGGTGCTGCTGGAGCTGCTGGAGGTGCTACTGGAGCTGTTGGAGGTACTGCTGGTGGTGGAGGTGCTACTGTTACTGTAGCTGCTGGAGCTGCTGGAGGTGCTGCTGGTGCTGGAGCTGCTGGAGCTGCTGGAGGTACTGCTGGAGGTGCTACCGGTTCTGTCTCTGCTGTTTCTGAAGGCGCTGCGCGGCCGCGGCCGTACTACGTTCCACTCCTTCAGCAAGTTCTTGGTTCCCCGCCTTCTCCTGGTCCTCCTCCTCCTTTCCTGAGTCCACCGCCTGTCCAGTCCTAGTCGCAGTTGCAGCCGGCCTCTCCACTGCCTGGTCCATCTCCTTACTCTAGACCGACTAGAGGTCTTACGGAGCGTCGTGAGCCTGAGTCGCGTCCTATTTTGCCTGAGTCTCGTCCTGTGTCGCCTGTCCGTCTTGTACGCGCTGGTCGTGTTTCGCGTCCGCGTCCTCCTCCTGTCCCTGACACTCACTCTATGACTCTGCGTCCTTCCACTGCTCCACAGCGTGTCCCTCTGCCATCTCCTCCTGCGTCCTCTCGTCCTGCCGGTCCGGACCCTGCGTCTGACTCCCTCCGTGCTGCTAGTCCAACTGTCACGCGCTTTCTGGCCACTGCTGTCACTGACCCTTTGTTTGAGTCCACTGCTGCGTCTGCTCTTGTTACTGAGCTTGTTGACTTTGCTGCAGCCTGTCGCCTAGACTACGCCGCTAGTCTTGTTACTGAGCCTGCGTCTGTGTTTGTCTGTCCTCCGTCCGTCGGGGGTGAGTGTGCTCTTGGCACGGACGTTCTTGAGGACAGACAAGAGGAGTTTGAGTGCTTTGCTGCTTCTGTAACTCATCTCGTGTCCATGCTGCTTGCCCCTGAGGGAGACCCGGATGCACCAGACATCCCGACCCCGCGCTCTTACGCAGAGGCGATAGAGGGTCCCTACTCCTCTCAGTGGCAGGCAGCCATGGACGCCGAGATGGCATCCTGGAAGTCCACAGGCACCTACGTCGACGAGGTTCCCCCGCCTGGGGCGAACATCGTCAGTGGCATGTGGATCTTCAGGGTGAAGCGGCCGCCGGGTTCTCCGCCTGTCTTCAAGGCGCGTTACCTTGCACGTGGCTTCAGTCAGCGACAGGGAGTTTACTTCTTTTAGACCTTCTCCCCTACCCCGAAGATGACCACTCTTCGGGTACTGCTGCACGTTGCTGCTCAGCGTGACTACGAGCTCCACTCGCTTGACTTCAGCACAGCCTTCCTACAGGGCAGCCTGCACGAGGAGATCTGGCTGCGCCGCCCACCTGGCTTCACTGGGTCGTTTCCTGCTGGTACCCAGTGGAGCCTCCGGCGGCCAGTCTACGGTCTCCGCCAGGCACCCTGTGAGTGGCACAACACACTCAGGACGACTCTTGCTTCTCTTGGTTTTGCTCCTTCTACTGCTGACCCTTCTCTGTTCTTACGCACTGACACTACTCTGCCGCCGTTCTACATTCTCGTGTACGTAGACGACCTCGTCTTTGCTACTGCTGACACTGAGGCACTCGCCCATGTGAAGTCGGAGCTGCAGAAGAGACACACGTGCACAGACCTGGGTGAGCTGACAAGCTATCTTGGCTTGCGGATCAACCGGGATAGAGCACAGCGCACCATTACCTTGACTCAGTCACACATGGTGCAGCAGGTCCTTCAGCTCTTCGGCTTCACGTACTCCTCGCCACAGTCCACTCCTCTGCCTACCGGTCACTCGCTCTCAGCTCCACCTTCGGACGAGTCCGTAGAGCCGAGTGGCCCGTATCCAGAGCTTGTGGGCTGCCTCATGTACCTGATGACTTGCACACGACCTGACCTCGCATACCCTCTCAGCCTTCTGGCTCGCTACGTGGCTCCCGGCAGGCACCGAAAGGTGCACTTGGATGCTGCGAAGAGGGTGTTGCGATACTTGTGCAGTACATCGGGCATGGGGCTAGTGCTTGGAGGACGGGCTCGAGTTTTCCTCACTGGTCACGCTGACGCCTCCTGGGCTGACGACTTGGCTACGCAGCGGTCGTCACAGGGTTACACCTTCAGTCTTGGCTCCGGTTCTGTCTCTTGGCGGTCTACCCGCTCTTCTTCTGTTCTCAGCTCCAGTTGTGAGGCTGAGATCTACGCTGGGGCCATGGCTACACAGGAGCTACGCTGGCTCACCTACCTGCTGACCGACTTGGGAGAGGCGCCTCGTTCTCCTCCAGTTCTGTACGTCGACAACAAGGCCATGCTGGCCTTGTGTCAGGAGCACAGACTGGAGCACAGAACGAAGCACATTGCTGTGCGCTACTTCCTTGCTCGAGAGCTGCAGCAGCGTGGCCAGCTTCGTCTTGCTTACGTGGCCTCTCAGGCCAACACTACTGATGTTTTCACCAAGGCACTTCAGCCTTGTGATCATCAGCGTTTCTGTACTGTGTTAGGCCTTGTACCTACTGTGCCTCACTTGCTTACTTCTTGACTCTGCTTGTACTGTACTCTATATACATATACCTGCATGCTTACACTTGCTAGGTTGTGTTCTCTGTATTGTTTGTTTTCCTTTATATAACTCTGCATGTGAACTAGCCTTGTGGCCATTTGCTTGTGCTCAGACTGCGTGGTAACTTTGTGATCCACCCTGAGCTTGCTTTGCCTTTCTTGACTGGTCTTGTGACCTCTTGTTCTCCCCCACTTTGCCTATGGGGGTGTGTCAAACTTATAAGCTTTAGTCTGTTTAGGTTGTAGTGGGGTAGTTCTTATAGGGTACAACACTTTTAGGATTGCTACTTGTACCCACCTGCTTTCTAGTTCACTCATTCATTCGCTCACATTCTAACAGCAACACCTACGGCACCAATCGCGGGTTCTTCGACGGCACCAGTTCTCATCGACGACACTCCACCGACTCCTGCGCAGCAGTTAACTCCCACTCCACGCGAAGTTCACAGAAGCGCCAACCTCACCGCGGGATTTTATTCCAACTCCGACCTGTACAGGCGCTCACCAGGACATCGTGCGAGCGAATCACTGTGGCACGAAAGATTGGGTCATCCAAGCAACACAACGTTAAACAACACGATCAAGGCAGCAGTACTCGACAAAGATTCCTTGCTTCTACCTGACGGCAGAGAACTTCAACGAGTCAGTGTTACATGTTTTACCTGCCCCGAAGCCGACTTACCTCATCAACCGTTTGTCTCTCACCACAATCCAAGCGCGCCAGCTTACGCACCACAGGAGAATGTCTACAGCGATATCCTGTATACTCGCGAACAATGTCAAGAAGCATACAACTACGTGATTACTTTCATCGACGCCGCCACCCGATACGTTTGGCATCTCAACCTTCCAAGTCGCAACATGGCCTTCGAAGCCTTCGTCGCCTGGCTACCTGTGGCAAAACGAGAATCAGGAGCAAAGCTGAAAAGCTTCTAGTCAGACGGGGGAGGAGACTATCAGTCACAAAGGTTCAAGCAGTACCTCGCAGAACGAGGCATCAAGCGACTCATCTCGCTTCCCTACGCCCATCAACAGCAAGGCGTGGCAGAACGGATGAACAGGTGTCTCCAGAACACCATGCGCAAAATGTTGCGTGGCATGCGACTGCCCAACCACCAGTGGCCTGAGGCGATGGACCACGCTGTCATGCTGCACAACTTGCTCTCGTCATCATCGCTCCCGAACAACGCATCACCGCACCTGCTGTGGACAGGAAAACTGGGCAACACAAAAATGTTACGAGTTTTTGGTTGCATGGTACAGTACCGACCGCACACTGCAAGAGCCGAAAGATTTTCACAACGCGCACAGTGGGGGCTACACCTGGGCATCGAAAAGCAGTATAACGCATGGAAGATTTTCGACGTCCACTCGAAGGAAACAGTAGCAGCACGTGATGTCATTTTCTACGAGCGACTCACACTTCAAACGTACCTGGACAACCTGGCAGCAAATCGAGACCTCACGGGCGGCTTCCGTGGCAACCGAGCTTTCGCTTCGACAGCAGAAGAAGCTGACTGGGACGAGCAAAACGTGGACGGAGCTTCGGAGGCAGCCGGACCTCTTCCGTATTGCTTAGTAGACATCTCCATGGACGACGACAACCCTCGTGAAAGTGTCAACGCCGAAACCTACTTCGACTTCGCCGACAACGGTTACATTACACCCCAACCGGTCGACACCAACGTCTCCGAACGCATAGGACCCAATTTCTTACCGGATCCAAAAGCGGGAGATGAAGCAGCTTATCCCGAGGACTCAAATCTCCCCCGCTACACACAGAGTGGACTGCAGATACTAGGACTCGTCACCGCCGTCCACGGAGCAGCACCACCTAAGGAGCCTGCCAACATTCAGCAGGCTCTGGGGGGGGAACACAGGGAAAAATGGCGCAAAGCCATGGACAGAGAATTAAAGGCGCTGCAAGAACGCAACACCTGGAAAGTCGTGCCTATCGGAGTGGCACGCAACAAGACCATTCTCACAGGAAAATGGGTTTTCCGTGTGAAAACAAAAGCCGACGGAACGATAGACAAATTCAAGGCACGCTGGGTCGTGCGCGGCTTCGACCAAGAGCATGGACGAGAATTCACAGAAACATTCGCACCAGTTAGCCAACATACCTCACTGCGGATTCTCCTCGCAATAGCCGCCATGAACCGGAAGAAACTTCGACAAATCGACGTTGCCAACGCATTCCTCTACGCCCCTGTCGATGCTGAGATCTTCGTCGAACATCCACATGGGTCTAATGCAGACCCTAA